ACTGTCAAAGTAAATTCAAGGTATTTTAAGCTCTTAAAGCCCTCAGGAGATTTGGCATCACTAGCATCTGTATTCAAAAGGCTACAAACGACAAAGGCCATTCATCACGTTTGGTAGTTAGTCCCTTATTATTCCAAGAATCGTTCGTTCGCATACTCACACAACCCTTTGGGTAAAGACATGTCTAATGTTATCCATTTTAAATACACTTCTGTAGTTGCCACTCGTGTCCTCTGTGTTTCACAGTTCATTTTGAAGAGGTCCACTTTGTTTACTTTGTCAGTGCATTTGAGAATTTTGAACATATGGATCAGGTCATCTAGTAGTCCTCTCTGTTAAAGACTATAAATGTCTGGTGTTGTTCCCTGCCGCTGGGTATCACAATGATTGTTACTAGTGTACTGAAGTACAGATGGTTAATGGTAGTGTACTGTAGTGTTTACAGAGTAAAATGTGGTTGAAAGTTGTGCACTGTTACTTATTAAAACGTTCTTAAAATATAGTAAGTTACTGACGTTCCTTTAAGGCATGGAATGTCTTTGATTGCTCCTCGCTGGACTGATTAAAAAGTTTGGAGGTAATGGAGAGGAGTCCCTATTACCTGTCAAGCGCTTTGAGTGGAGTGTCCAGATGTGCAAGGAATTATAATGATTAAAATTAAACACTGTGTTGTAAATTAGAATGGGAAGCACCTCAGATATGCCATTGAAGATACAGGCTTTAGGAGCATCAGTGTTATACTCAGCCTTAATGTCGACGATGCTGATGTTCAAGTAAAGATGTGCCATTCGGCAGAGCACTTTCCTTCTCTTCTGCTGTGCTCATTTTACCAGGAAGGCTTGGTCATGTGTGCAGCACGGTGGTGCAGTGGTTTGCATTTCTGGCTCACAGCACTGGGGTCCTGGGTTCAATTGCTGGGGTTCTGTCTGCTTGGCGTTTGTATGTTCTTCCTATGTTTGTGTGGGTATCCTCTGGGTGCTACAGTTTTCTCCCACAGCCTAAAAACATGTTAATATGTTAATTGGCTTCTGGGAAAATGGGCTCTGGCGTGAGTTTGTGTGTCTGTGGCACACACACCCTACAGTTGGCTGGTGTCCTGTCCAGGCTGTACCCTGTCTTGTGCCTGTTGCCTACTGGGATAGGCACCAGCTCCCTCTCGACTCTGTATTGGATAAAGCAGTTAGAAAATGGATGGATGGGTTTGGACATGTTCAGTTGACAGTTTTAGCACCGCCCAAATTTAAAACAATAAAAACAAATGAAGTGAATGCACAGGCCGGCTGTGTGGAGGATGAACAGATTGTGTAATGATCCTGTCAGGACACAGAATGGAGTTGCATAGTGCTGTGCATTGTTTAAATACAACAGAGAAAGAGCATTGCCCTGTGAGCAGATGTGTTTAAATACAGGATATAATAACACTAGTATGCACAATACATAGTCTATATTTATACTATTTATATATATTTATATATATAAAAAAATAACCTCTTTACTGCTTTAGAGGTATGCCATCGCAGCACGATGTGTGCTCTTCACTGGCCAAAGACAATACATAGGTGGCACTTGTGCATTACATGTTAGTGAAACAATTACTTAATTTAATCTGTTTCCCTACCGTACATTTTTTTAAATTGACTTAATATTAAATGTTAATATGGAATTTTGTAACATAGTCTAGATTTTACATCTTGCTTTCTCGTCTCGAGACTGTGTTTGGAGTCTCTGACACTGCCCTCAAATGGTTTAAGTCTTACCTCACTGATCGCTGTCACTTTGTCTCTCTCAATGGGTACAGGTCTGAAATTGGTCTTGTCAAGTCTGGTGTCCCTCAGGGCTCAATACTGGGCCCCTTGCTCTTCAGCATTTACATGTTCCCACTTGGTCAGCTTTTAAGATCACATGGCCTCAGCTTTCATTTTTACGCTGACGATACTCAAATATACATCCATACCAAACCCGACACTGATGTGGCTGTCTCTATTCTATCTAATTGCATCTGTGACATAAAAATTTGGATGACTCAAAACTTCCTTCATCTTAACTGTGACAAGACTGAAGTCATGCTTATTGGTACCCCCCATCAACTTCGTAAAGCCAGTCCTGTAACCCTGTCTGTAGATGGCTCTGTACTTGAGCTCCAATCAAAATTGAAAAACCTTGGGGTTATATTCGATTCTGGCTTAACATTCGACCCACATGTACAGCATACTGTCAAAACATCTTTTTTTCACCTTAGAAATATCGCAAGACTACGCCCTATGCTATCATTAACTGTGGCTGAAAAGCTGATCAACATATTTGTATTCTCTCGAATTGACTACTGCAATGCTCTGCTCCCTGGGGTATCTAAATCTACTCTGAACAAGCTGCAGTATGTCCAAAATTCAGCAGCCAGAATCCTGACCAGATCTAGTGCAAGTGTTCACATTACTCCTATCCTGGAGTCCTTGCACTGGCTTCCGGTCAAATTCCGCGTAGACTTTAAAATCCTCATGCTCACCTACAAGGCTTTACATGGCTTGGCACCTCAATACCTGTCTGAACTTTTATCGCCCTATTCCCCACCTCGCAACCTCCGCTCTTCAAATTCTGCCCTCCTTACTGTCCCTCAAGCCCGTCTACATTGTATGGGCGACAGGGCCTTCTCCTGCTATGCCCCCAAGCTCTGGAACTCCTTGCCCAAGGATATTAGAGAGTCACCTTCTCTAAACTCCTTCAAATCCAGACTCAAAACCCTCCTTTTCAGAAAAGCCTTTACTTAACTGGTTCCATTCTTCACCCCTCTGCTCTTAATACCATCTTCCACGGTCTCCTCTATTGTTATTGTTGTATTGTTGTAATTATAATTGTGTCCTGTCTTGTGAAATTTTCTTATTTATTGTTGTAGTCTTCTTATTTATTGTTATTGTCATCCTGTAAAGCGCTTTGAGAAGCCACCTTTAAAGGCGCTATATAAAATAAAGTTTATTATTATTATTATTATATTCTGAAGAATTTACTAGACTTTAATACAGAGTTTGTAGAAGAAATATGAGTTCTGGGTATTTCTCCAGTTTGGTCACTTACTGTAAGCATTAGTATTATGTTGCACACATACAGAAAGCTCCCATAGTTTTCCCGTTGCATCTAAAGCTAGTTGGTGTTCGACTAGGTGTACTGCTACACAAGTCTGCAGAGTCCTGGCCAGAGAAACAGGGCACTGGTGAGCTGAATATTCCAAAGCGGACCCCTGACAGGGCTCTGTCCTTTTGTTCCTTCTGTCTTGGAGCTCCTGGACACTCGAGATGATGAGTACCATGGATGGTCTGTTTCTAGCTCTCATCCTGGCTCCAGGTCTCCTATGCACTAAGCAATGAATCTTACTTATTAGTGTTAAATTTGATGGAACACTTGGAAATCCTGTATGGAATAAAACAAACTCTTTTGTCTATCTTGGGAACATAAGATCATTTAGATGTGTAATTTTTATTATTTGTTGTGCTCTCATAAGGATTTAGGAATAGGAATACTATTAGGAATATTTACACTGGTTAATATCGTGGTAAATTTGGTTAGTTGACAACCTTTGATTTTTGACACTCAGCTCCCACAGTGTAGGAAATGTGATTATTAACTGAGGTTTTGTTTATTTAAACTGTATTTACTGTTTACACTTAAAAAAATACATTAGTATTAAACAACAAAAGTATTATTTTTTTCAATAACACATGACCATCAAATGGTATAACATGGTATAACCTGTAGTGGGTATACAGTATGAAGCACAGTCCTGCAATGCAGAATTAAAAATGTGTGTGTACTAATCATGTCTGCAGTCTCCTGCCTGGCTGCTCATTCCTCAGTAATACCACATATTGTCTCATAATGGGGAGCTGTTTCTCCCCACTGACAGGCTCAGGAGCACCACAGTACACACTCTGCAGTAATAAGCAAGCACACGTTAGTGTTCATCTACAGTATTAAAGAAGATCTGACAGTAAGAGGGTTTTGTTGTTGTATAACAGTATATTGCTAACTGTTCTTATCTTTTGACTCTTTTCCACTAACCCCATAGCTTGTGGTGCTGTGTTTTTTGTAGTTCGTTTGAAACCTTTATAGTGAGTTGCCTTAGCTTGGCTAATGGCCAGTCGCTGTGTCTCCATCTCACATCTCTTGTTTCTGCTGCACTGCTGTGCTTGTCTTTGCCCAGCATGATCGCATCATTCTTCAACACAAGGCTGCTGTGCAAACTTTCTTTTCTTCTCTGGAAAGTTTTGTAATCCACTTTAAAAATGTTTTCACTCCCTGCCAGTTTGAGCCATCCCCCTTCCCTCCCCTCCCACGTGAGGAAGAGCTATCCAGGGACAAAGCACTGAATAAGTAATGAAGGCACACAGAGAGAGGAGCGCTGGACAGGAGTTTGTCACAGGGATCAACATTAGATCCAAGCACGGGGAGTCAAAGAGTGGGAGGAGGGGTGGGGAATAGTTAAAGAATTTTTTTTTTCTTATCTTCAAGAGAAAGGATCGTCAGCAGATATTAAAATCTGGCAATTATGAAGTTGGCACAGAGACAGGAGCATTTCCACACATAGACCGGCGGTTTTAGAGCTCAAAGAGCAGTGCTTCCCAGCCTCAGCCCCCTCCCCCTGCTTTATTTCAGTAGATGGTAGGCTCCATTTAAAAGGGTTCTTGTCATCTCTCAATGCTCTGTGTCCTTTAGCGAGCAGCGGCAGCAAGCACATTTTGCAGGGGGAGAGACCTGCTTCTCATTCCTTTACTGACTGTGTCTCACACACGCGCACAGAGACAGGCGTACTCGCACATGGACTTAACACACAACAGGTAGAGGGCACCTAATTATTCAGCAGCACAGGCTTTGCTTCGGGAAGAAAAAGAAAAAGGAGCTTTGTGGATTTTCTACTGTACATAGTACAAAGATAAAAAGAGGCACTTTTAGCTTCTGCTTCTTTCTGGTGCACCTGACACCATGCTGCCTTCTGTGGATTCCCTCCCCAGGCCAAAATTCTTAAAATGATGGACGACAACAAACAACTGGCTCACCGGATCGATGGGGCCATTCAGTCTGCCAGTCAGGAAGTGACCAACCTGCGTTCTGAGCTGTCGGCAACCAGCAGGAGGCTGGCAGAGCTGGGCGCCAACGAGCCCCCTGTCATGGAGAACAATCAACAGAACAGCCACGGTAAGAGGAGTTTGTCCAGCAGTGTGCTCCAGCTGTGTGTAGTGCAAAGTGTCTCTGGTCTGTTGTATGCCAGGGGGCTGTTGTGTGCAAGTGTTTATTCTTGTGGAAAGTATGAATGGTGGCAGATTTTTAGCCCCCCCAGCTTTGATGTCTTTTTTTCCATAAAGTTCATTTGTTGTTTAATGATTAACCCGCTGAACTGAGGAGAGGAATGAGAGAGAGCAAGGAGGTGGCTGATTGGTAAAGAAGGGTTTTCCTTGTCATTCAATCTGGCTGTTTTCTGTTCCAGTGCTGCTCTCTCTCACTCTCCTCTCTGGTGCTTTCAGAAGCGGGAGTGTTAATGATTTCAGGCTAGTAAGCTATGTGAGATCTGGGAATCGCAGGCTGTACTGCAGCAAGTTTCTGCTGTCGCTGTGCTCTGCTTCGGCAGTGGATGGGATTTAGTTTTAGGGCTAAGGCAGCGTGGCACATTTTCTTTTCATTTCTATCTCTCCAGTCCCCTTGCTGATCTTCTGTTCCTACTGCTTTTCCTCAAGGCTGTGTGTTACTGTGATGGCAGTGTTTGCTGGAGGGCAGGAGTGTGGGGGGCTGGCACTGTAGGATTTGCTGTCTCTCGGGGAGCCCCCAGCATATGAATGAGTGTTGTCTGTCTCTCTGCAGTGAACCAGTGACAAGCAAGTCTGTTTTAGTTGCCTTTGCTGCCATTGCTGAATGGCCTGGGCTTCTGTAGCAGGATGAAGCCCCTGCTGCAAGCCTGTCCAGGTGTGCAGAGAGCTCTCCAGCTGGGAGATTATCTCTGGTTTTAAACTGTTGTTGGGATCTAGGTCCTTTTCCTTTTCCCCTGTCTTGTCTCTTTGGAATGATGTTTAACCCCTGGGGTGTTGGGTGATGTTTTGTTGCAATCTAACAAGTGTCCCCCATGTTCCTTCAGAAAATGTTCTGAAAGCAGAGTGGCAACTTTTTGCCTTGTGCCTGTCTTGTGTGTCATTTTATTTTTTCTGCTAGTGCTCACAGAGGCAAACCTGTCACTAGTGGCAACAGATGCAGCGTTCTGTTGGCTTTCAAGATGATGTAATGCTGTTCCCCCAGCTAGTCGGAGAAGTGGTGCGATGAGCGGGAAGAGACTTGCTCCACTTACATACTCATGAGTGAGCAGCAGTGTGATGCAGCACAATTTCAATAAGCATTTTCACTCATATGTTCACATGTGTGAGTGAAACGCTTTCAGTTTCAGTTTTTTTCTCGAGTGGAAATGTAGCTCAGCTATAAAGTGTTGTCTTGGATGAAGAGAAAAAGAAATTGTTTGCTTTAAAGGTCTTACAGACTTTTTGAAAAAACTTTAAATATCATGACTAATGGTTTGGCTTCCTCAATGCATTTAAGACCCTCTGTTCTTTGTACTGTTTTCCATGGTGAAGATTGGTGCTAGGTGATTTATGAATGTGAAAACATATGTTAACATCAGCAAAGATGTCTACTCTGTCATCTCTCTCTATACTCTGTCTGCTCCTAACTATCACTGTGATCACTCACTAGCTCAGCACACAGCTGTGTTAAAACATTTAAATGACTGAATTTACAGTTTGACTGGTAACTATTTACCTTCTATTTAACTTCATCACACAGGTCTGGGAATAGATGGTTTTTATTTACTAAATTGATAGCTGATTTCCTAATTGACACTCTACAGCAGCAGAGTGTCATGCTGGAGCAGATTTCCCTACATGGTGTAATTCTGATCCACAGAAAGTTATGTCAAGAATTCAGACAGTAATTACAGTGAGTGAGAAAGTGAGAATCATGGTCTTAAATCAGCTTAGTTTTTTCTGCAAATCAGCAGTCTTCATTGGCTTCAGACACCTTCTGTGATATGTATTTGTTTAAGATCACATTGTGTGTCCTTTCAACAGTAATAACTTGTACAATTTTGCTTATGCTTCCCACAGAATAACAGCAGAGCAAAAGAATGTGAAGCCCTGCTTAAAATAAATAAATTGATCAAAAAGTGCTCTGTCTTTTATTTGTTTTTTAATATAATTTCACCAGTCTGGACTGGTTTCCCCTCTTTTCGAGGATACCATGATGACCCAAGAGCGGAATTGTGACGCACTCTTGACCAGCTTGTATTGTGGTGTGTGGTACCAGTGCCAGGGCTGCTGTTGTGCCTTGTCTCTCAACATCACTAAATTCACAGCTGCCTGTTTTAAAAAAAGGATTACAGTATGGAAGGCTTCTGTGGAGGGTGGACTGAAGCAGTCCCAGGTGGCACCTCACTTTGCCGCAGAATCTGTTTCCTTGTTAAGATCTGATTTGTGGAACAAAGAGGATATGATTTATTATGCGTCCCACAGCAGCTGAAAGCGTGTCAGGGGCATGGCCTTGGTTTAGCACACACGGAGGTATATGAGCCAAGCAGCAGTGTTAAACTGGAGAGCCATAGAGGCCTTTCTAGTGGGGGTGATGGGAGCCAAAGCCAGTGCTGTGTCATGCCACATGATGTGTACACGGAACAAATTGCTCTGTCTGAGGGCCTGTCCTAGGCAGAGTGATACACAAGGCTTTTGCCTGACCAGTACTCTGGCATAGCTGCCCGGTTAGTGTTGCAGACAGGATTGGTAAAGTTAGAAATGAAGAGTGAATTAAATCCCACAGAAACTGTGACATAATTGTGCACAGCTCTCAATAGGTGCTATTATCCCTCAGTTTGTGAACATACTGTATGCTTCTGTGTTTATTATTGAAACTCTTCTTTCCTGAGCTTGCACAGATACTCAGTAATCCATGAACCAAAATGTGACAAAGGACCAGCTGCAAAGGGTGTACTGGAGTTCTGGCCATGTTTTTTTCAGTATAGTAGCAAGACTAGATTAGTAATTGCTTTTAATATAGAAAAAAAAAGTATTTCTGGGTTGATGGAAAGCTTTCTGAGTACAACTCTCATTGTGGCAATATGTACATCATTACTGTTAGTGATTTTTTTAATAGTTTGTGGCTAAATAAATGCAGATTTCTCAGTAGGAACCTCAGAGTGTTAAATTACTTCAAGTATTTTATCTTTAATTTCAAGGTAAATGCGGTTACTCTACTCTTTTCTTCTGGACTGTGTCTCCAGGTTAAAGTATGTCTTTGATTGGCTTCATCCATCATTGAGGCTCCTTCTTTGTGCTGGTTTACATTTTAATTTTTATTGACCTGTCCCCTGTGATAACAAATAGGCACCCTTGGCCATGTCTGGACAGTGACAAATGGCTGATTGTTGTAAAATCAGAGTGGAAGCAAGGGAATCAGTTTTTTGTATATATTGGTGAATTTCCATTAGATTGGCCAGGTTCAGAACTGAAGAAGTTTGAATATGATTATATTTCAATCCCAGGATGAACATGTAGTTGTGTTTTGAGAAAATACAAAGTTTCTCTTGGTTGAATTTCATTCACTGAGACTGGAGGTATTCAGATGACTGGGGTTAAAAACTGCTTAATTTAATTAACATTTTATGATGACAACTCCTTAGTCTTAAGCTACATAGTTAAAAAAATGTCCCAGTAATTAGAGCACACTCATTTGGGATTTCTCTGCTGAAGACTGAGAGAAGTTAATGAAAAAAACACAAAACCAGCTGGCAGTTGTTCTGAACTTCTGGAATAGGGTGTTCTAATGAGATTTAAAGTGTTTTGCTTCCTCTTTTGGAAGAGTGTCTTTGCCAAACTATTGAGCACTTCCAACATCCGCTCACTGTGAGATGGGATGACAGATACCCTAACAAGTTGGTGATGTCACACATGTCTTCAATGTCAAGGGCTGAGAGAACTATCCTATCTTGAAAACAGTTTTGTTGGATGAAGTCACGTGGTCCATGGAATCTATTGTGAAAGGACTGGTTTAATAATTAATAATTATTAATAAATAATAAATATTATTATTATTAATTAATAATGATTTAATATATTTCCATACACGAGGCAAACAGTGGGGATAGGACATGTACGCTCATGCGTTATATGTTGCCTTTGCAAGCTGTGCACTCTCAGAGTTGGAGTTTCATGCTAACTTACAGTATACCATACAGTCACTGCTGTCTTCCTCTACACAAGGACACAGTTAATCTTTGTGGTGTTCTGACCAGCACCGCTCTCCCAGAAAATGCGGTGGCACTGTATAGTGTTATGGACCCAAAAGCGAAAGCACCAAGCCACAGTTGAGGGCTCACTATACCAGGGGCACAGATCAGGCAGCCACCAAGCTGAAGTCCGTGGCCGGAGTCAGGAAGCAAGGGCTGCAGGAGTGTCGATCTCATCAGATTAAGGCCAAAGGAGACATCTGCTGAGGTTGGGGGCCCTAGACAGCACAGCCACGATCAGAACTTGATTAGTCTTGCTCAGTACTGATAAGGAGGATTTCAATAGGGCTGTTGTTGACCCTGCTAAGAAGTCTATAAGACTCCCGATTCTTGGCCTGGCACACTGGAGCCACTCAATACACAGTTTCTCTGGGCACCTCAGCACACACACCTGCCAGGTTTTATTGAGCACTTTCTTCCTTCATCAACTATTTGCTTCTGTTCTGCAATTGTAGTCATCTGAACTTGGAACTGTGGTTGTCTGTATTTTCCTTAAAACAGACAATCACAGGCCTCCTGTCTCTGAGCCACCCATTTCACACACAGCTATATACTGTACATGTAAAAGGCTCTAACTGTAATCCTTTTGTGATGAAATAATCATAAGTTGATAATAAGTGATAATTTAGTGCTACTCTCAGTTGAATTATACTACTGCAGTGGCCTTGTTAAAATCCAGTTTACAAGGGAATCACCTGACTGAAGCCAGCTAGGATCTTCCTTTGTTTGCGCTCTTCCTAGCTGTCATGAACACATAAAAAATGAAAGTCTTTGATTTTGCTGCAGCTCAAGGCGCTGGCTTGTATTGGTCTGATTCTGATGGATTGAAATCACTGTATGTCTGAAAAGAGGCTCTCTTTGAGCTTCACTTCAAGGTAGGAAA